CCTAGCCGATATTGGGAAAAAGGCCCATTTCATGGGTACTTGTAGAGGATGACCATTGCAAGACGGCAGATGACTAGTCAAGACCAAACTTACTGACCAGAACTAATATTGATGCGCTACCGGACAACTCACCTTTGCTTAGAAAATTAATTGAATGACTGATGAAGGTTGGGGTCTCCAGTCTAAACCAAAACAAAAGTTCAAATAGAATAGTTTTGCCATCTTTGATGAGTGATATTAGACACGTCACGAGGGAACTAATTAGCCTACAATTCATAGGAAATCTATTGCTTAATGGATCTGTTTCAGTCTAATAAGACAGATATCTCGAAAGCAGCTGAGCCTATAAAAGCAGGTGTATGGAGCTGCCTGATCACACAGGCAAAATAAACTGACCTTCGCCGTCGATTGAGCAGCAAACCAGATATGATGTGCCTTTTTCAGGCAGGCGAGCTTCAGCAAGACCAACGACCGCTGAATTGAGATGATCCTTGACCACCAACGCTCCATTTTTCCATGAACGGAAATCAACCTATAGTCATTAAGGCACTGAAAATTTTCTAAACGCATATAAAAATCCGCGAGCAATTTTACAAGTGAATACAAGAATTAGCTCTGTAAATTTCGCCGGTATGAACAAATACAACCATCATTGGCAAGACTGTGAAAACATGATTGAAAAATCACATAACTTATGCATGTAAAAGAGGCTACCGTATTTTTACGGCCCCCCTCTGAAATGGGAACTCCATAAATCACATTTGCTTTCATATTTGTTCCGTTTCTTCTCACAGGTCCATGTTTGTTCAATTATTATCGCTTAGAACTTATCGAAGAAAAAACATAATACAGCATTATTGGTGAAGCATGTCCCAACATGTTGTGAATAGCCGGAGCCGACCAAAGTGAAAGACCGTACTCGACATAAAGTGCCTTGACTTGCATTTCTTGCCGATGTGCTTCAGGCCGTCTATCGAGCCATTATGACCATGATGGACAATTACTGAAATCATATTTAAATTTACTGCCATGGAAATTCAAACTAATTTTGCCGCGCAGAAGAAGAGCACAATAAATACAAGCTTGAAAGAAAGTACTGAGGAGCTATCACTTTCAATGGCGATGAGAATTCTGTGCTTATGGCGTTTAGCCCTTGCCAGGAGATTTAGCATATTAGATTGAATGAAGTGGGACCATCCATGCTCCATGTAGATTTCTTAGCTGTTCGAGTAGCAGTTCCTGTATTCGTTAAGTACAGCGACACGATTACACAAAAAAACTATTTTTATCGTGATATAGAGACGCCTATTTACACATATAACTTCATGCAAATTACACCGAATGCCTCTTTCATCGCGTTCAGCGCCGACGACCTGCCTTCCGGTCCAACGATTAATTATCACTCACAAATAGCTTGCTGCGGTTCCTTTGAAGATTTGCAGTGCCGAAAGCGCGCCACTGTCTGTTTGACATTCCACATTCATATAACCCTCCGTGGCTCTTTAAATATTTCTCAGGTTAGGTAAAACATTGTCTCCAGATTTTGTAGGGCTTGAATAGCTTTCAGTGAATCCTTTGAATCACCATCTTATTGATGGATAGGCTACTCCGTAGCTAAAATTTTATGGAAGTCCAAATGTCAATTAATTACATAGTGCATCATGTATGATATGTAGGCAATATTAGATAATACCTGAGAAAAGCAATCCTATAGAACATCTGACAGTCTATGAGAATAAGACCTTTATATGCTTCATTGACAGATCTCTCAAAAAATTGCGCCTAAAATATTGCATTGAATAATATTACAAATCCTAACAGGGAGTCGATGTCTTCCATTTAAGGGCAAAGGGAACGACGAAAAATTTTTATGGCGCTTTCTTTGGACAATGACAATTCTTTCGTCCTCTTTTCAGATCAGAGCAAGGTTGATTCCAAAACTGAACGGCATTAAAAAGCATTAAGATTCTTTCAATCAATTAATAACTTTGTTTGCCATAGCAGATCGAATTTGCTTTTGGTCCAGGTTACCATTGTATCATTCAGTTTAAGGTTTACCGCTTTAAGGTTCAACTCTCAGCTGCTAGCAACAGAGTTGCCAAGAATGAATCATGGAGAAGTTATTTAAATTGCAATGATAAAGAGAAGTGAATCGATTCCTCTGGTTAGCTAAATGAACAGCAGACGAATTTTTCTACGTGTTTCACATAATCCTTTTAGAATCATAAATATTCTATTGGACTTCAACTGAGAATTCAAGAGCAAGCGTCACAAAATGCCAGATGAAAACAGGAAAGTTAAAATCGAACGGTTAGGGAGGCCCTCGAAGCATGAACCTGGCACAAAACTTTCGAGTTAATCTCTCACAGGGCATTTTGCTTCGCATGCTTTTCTTAAGCTCTATTTTAAGAAGTTCAATACAAACCAATACTTCAATTTTCAAGGCAACAACGAATGCAATTTCATGTATAGTAAAAATAACCTTTCCGCCACTCCATCCAGTTGCAAGCTCAAGTTCGTTGTCACCATTGATGTCATACAAACACAGCGACATGGCAAACGTTTTCGACTAGAAGTGTGAAATTTGCCAGGATGCTTCAAACAGCACTAAAATATACCTTAATCCGCCAAAGTCGATTCGATCCTTCATACAAGCCCAGGGTGCCGTTTATCAGAGCGTAGGCGAATCGATTGCCCGAAACAGGATGCAGAGCAATCACAGCCTGAATGACGAAACTTGAACAAACTTGTTCACAGACTACGCCTCTTCTGTTTTCCTGTTGGTTTTGTCAGCATCATCTTTAGCCGCTTTACAAAACCACAGGCTGCTTAACATTCATGTTGTCCGTCATCTCGACATTTCTCTTTCTGGTATTATCAGTGCTCACTGCGTCTACATTCTTTGTGATAGAGGATTATGCATCCGGCACCATCCAGTGGCAAAACATCGATTTCCATACATAATACATGACATATTCGATTATGCCTCATTTATATAATTCGACTGATCAACTTTAGCTTTTATAACACATTATTTAGTATATGGTAACAACGATACTAGTTCAGTTGTTGATAGTGTTCAGCGGATCTTACACAAAGTCATTTACACATTTACTGTTTAACGTCACAGGAATTCAAGCGTCAGTTAAATAAAATATTTTCGGTTATGTGCATAACAAATATTTCATTGTGCGTTCATTCAGAGGAACGACGTATCGATCAGTATCATCATCAGCGTTTGTTGGTCCGCTTCTAAATGAATGCCTTTCCAGGATAATTTCAAAGACATCTGATTTCCGCCTTTTTCAATCATCTTCTTCAGTTCACCCTGCCATCGATCCGGAGGAGGTGGAGCTCGTTCCATGGGCCGTTAACTCTTCCTTGAAACCAGGTCTAGTGCCTCTTTCATCCAGAGATGGTCGATTCTTCCTGCCACTTGTCCACATTGCCATTTTAACTTCTTCAACTTGTTCACACGGTCAATAACAAGACATATTCTTATTTGTGCCATTATCCAGTCATTCGTCTGTCTGTCCATTCTCGTAACTCCGATCATGTATCTTACCATATTGCATTTCGTAGTGTGCCTTCAGGCTAGGTTCCACACTTCGCACCCATAGATTAGCACTGGGAACTCCCCTCGGATCTCTTGGTTCTGACAGTAACCGATGACGAATCAGGCCGACTACAATACGGCCGCCACTGCTCACGATTTCGAGCCTTCTTCCTCTCCAAGCAAGGCCCTTTCTTTCCGCTTCTGAAATAATCTGACGACACGAAAAGATGAGAGCACACCCTCATCGACAACTTTTCGTTTAAGCTACACAGACAGTTTTTCAGATAGGAACATTTTCAGCCTTCTATAAGTGTTCCATATGAGTTATATTGATTTAAAAAAACAGCAGATGAGTTGTCCCAGACAGACCTAGTTTTGCCCTTGTTCAGGCGTAAGCCAGTTTACTGCAACAAGGCATTCTCACATATTTACTAAACATGACCTGAGTCTTCGCCAGATTCATTTCAGTCTTATTTTGATGACGCTAACGTCAGATCAGGTATCGGATTCTTCTGCAAAATTCTTCTAGTGGACTTCGGAGGATCAGAACATTGTCCGCAAACCTCAGAGAGCTTAGGTAGTCCCATTTGCACTCAACCCCTGATTTTCCCAAACGATTGTTTTGCAAACCTCTTCTAAAGCTACGGTGAATAGTTTTGGCGACATCATTTTTAATTTTGAACCCTCTTGTACTTTCGTGAAACTGAAATACAAACCGTTACTACTTTTAAATCATAACGATGATGTCTCGAAACTTTTTCTCGATTCCTTGACTCGTGAATGAATTTCAGACGCATGGAAAAACAAGTTAAGCAATGTTTTAACTACAGGTTCACGATCCTGACCATCGAAAGACATTGATTTCATGATATGATAAGCTAATCGTCGTTAGTATAGCCAAATGGTTGCCAGAAGGCTAAATGATGACGAAGGATAAATTTTGAAAACTGAAAAGCTAAATTTCCTCAATGAAAAAACATTTCCTCAGCAGAAGCGACTGTGGAATCTTACGTTAGCAATATTTGACTTTTAAAGTTCAGTCAATGGACTTTAATTTGCATTGTCGCCCACTCTTCTGAATGACTGTGTCCTGCGTCATTAGAAAAAAATTTTTTTTATAGCGAACGAAAGTGAGAGAGAATACTCCATTAAAAGATTATGAAGCTCGAATAAACTAAAATCTTACTTCGGTTTCAGAAAATTCAGCAATTATTTCATCGCCCTTGAAAACACGAATATCGTAGTCTTCTGACCCAACGATCAACTAAAATATACGAATTAGTTTGCTCTGAATGATTATTCATGAACGGGTCAGGCAAGCATTCTAATACATGAACTAAGCCGCCCAAGG